TAGAAATTAATACAGAGAGTGCCCCAGGGAACAACCCTTTTATGTACAGAGTAGACTTTAACAGCCAAGTAATTAAACCCTGAAAGTAAGAGCTTATAATTAAAATGCGGACAAACCTGAACTGGGGCGGCACAAGGAGGGCTGCTATAATATTTTTACAATTCCTTTTTATACATAATGTATGATCCTTCTGCTCAAGTTTCCTCTATGTTCTTTGCCTGTGAAATAATTTACATTAATAAATAATTTATTACCATAACTCCTAAAGTAATTATGGGTTTCCATCCAATTTTTTTTAGCACATGAATTGTTTTGTTCTCTGTCCACTGACTTGTATTTACAAGACTTTTCCTAGTAGCCTTTTTAAAATAATTGGTATTGCCTTCGCTTTCTTACATATGAGTGATTTCCAGGTCTCCTCCTCGCCTGAGTGCTGAGGAAAATGGAATGTGTGGTGCCTATTGTCCCTACAATACAAATGCACTGAATGGCTGCAATTAGCCAAGGGTGGTGAATGGAGACTGCGTTCACTCCACTTGCCTGTTTCACCAAAAAAGATTAAACTAATACACGTGTGACCCTGGGTCCCCCACTGCAAATGGCAGAAGATGTGGAGGGAGCCTGGACTGAGAGTCCACATGTGGCCCTGCTTCTCCCCACACAGGATGACTCTCAGCCACAGCCCGGGCCCCTCTTTGTACCCACTAGAAATCAGAGTCAGGAGCAAGGGCTGGCTCCCTCGCCCAGTCGGCTGTCCAGTGGGTGGGCCGCACCACGGAGCTGCCACCTGACCTATGTGTCCTGTGTCGAGAGCACAAGAACCAGTCATATAAATGGCTCTTTCCCAGAGCAGCTTTGTAGAGGAAATTCCATTTCAGCAAAGAAGGTGAGCTGGGGATGCTCTGGGAGATGAGAAAGGAAGCCAAGAGTCAAAACAGCCTCTGCTGGCAGGAGCCCTGTGGTGGGGACTGAGCTGGCACCCTAATAAGGGGCACTCAATCCTGGTGCAGGGCTGGCTGGGCAGTGCTCAGCTCTACCCTCTCTGCTTCTCCCATCCACACTCCATGCTGGCTTTGTTCTCTCTTCCACACTGAGAAGCACAAAACCACTTCTCTGTATCAAGTTCCTAAACTGGGGTAGGGGATAAGAGTGGGGAGGGGCCTGGTATCCAGCTTGCAATTATAGGGCGTGAAGTGCTTTTAATTAAAAAAATAAATAAAAAGCATAGGCCAGGCGCCGTGGCTCACACCTGTAATCCCAGTACTTTGGGAGGCTGAGGCGGGTGGATAACCTGAGGTCAAGAGTTCAAGACCACCCTGACCAATTTGGTGAAACCCCATCTCTACTAGAAATACAAAAATTAGCCAGGCATGGTGGCAGACGCCTGTAATTCCAGCCACTCGGGAGGCTGAGGCAGAAGAATTGCTTGAACCTAGGAGGTGGAGGTTGCCCTGAGCCAAGACTGCACCAGTGCACTCCAGCCTAGGAGAAAGAGCGAGACTCCATCTCAAAAAAAACAAACAAAAAAAAACAAAAATAAAATTAAAAAGGCATTGTTGTGAGTATTCGATTTATATTAGTTACATGTTTTATCTAAGTGGGTGCAGAGGAGGCTGAGCTACTTGAAACGGTGGCATTTTAGGAAGTGACCAGGGTGCTGTGCTCCTTGCTCTACTGCACTTGCCCAGATTTTCTGCAGAACATTCGGGAAACTTGAACTCATACTGGCTTCCAGCAAGGACCCTGGCATGGGGGCTCAGGAGGAAAAAATCCTGAGTCACAGGACTAACTGTCCCCAGCTCTCATGGGAGAATTCCACTGATCAGCACCAAAACATGAATCTTTTATCTTCAGGAGACAGGCTGGGGGTTGGTGATTATGATAATTTGGTGTTTTATCTTTGCACAGCATTGTCAAGAGCTAGAAGGGCCCAAAACCCTCTTGAAAAGTCCAGCCGGCCCCTCAGAGTATTCTCTTCCCCACTGTTGAAAAGCAGGCATGCCAGGCGCGGTGGCTCACGCCTGTAATCCTAGCACTTTGTGAGGCTGAGGCAGGCAGATCACGAGGTCAGGAGATCAAGACCATCCTGGCCAACATGATGAAACCCCGTCTCTATTAAAAATACAAAAATAAGCTGGGCGTGGTGGCACACGCTTGTAATCCCAGCTACTTAGGAGGCTGAAGCAGGAGAACTGCTTGAACCCAGGAGGTGGAGGTTGCAGTGGGCCAAGATCATGCCACTGTACTCCAGCCTGGCGACAGTGAGACTGTCTCAAAAAAAAAAAAAAAAAAAACAAAGAAAGAAAGAAAGAAAAGAAAAGAAAAGAAAAGCAGGTACACCTCTGATGAAATCTTGCTGCCTGGGGTGCACTCCCAGTTCACGGAGCACCAGAAGGGCTGGAGAGGTAACCTGAGCTTCCACTAGACAGAGTGCACAGGGTAAGGCTCCTGACTGCTGACCCCTCTCTCCCAGCAAGTGCAGGAAAGGGACAGAGGCGGGAGGGAGGATGTGCGCTAGTGTGTGGCCGTCACCTTAAATCCCCACAATTTGCAAGGTGAGGAAACCTAGCCAGGAAGACGGGGTGGTATCCCCATAGTTCAAGGGCCTCCACATCTCGTGGAAGTTGGCCTAAGCAGCGCGGAATTCACTGTTCATTGATCTTTCTCCTCCACCAGACAGAAACCTCCCTGAGGGAAGGGGCAGGGTCTGATCCACTCTATCCCTCACCAGGTGCCTGACACACAGCAGGTGCTCAAGTCGTATCTATGACAGCACGTCACTGCAAACGAAACGAAATGCGGTCAGTGAAACACCTCAGTGATGCACAGCCATGCAGGTCAGGGTTTTCCTGAATCAGGGAGGGGCTGAGCAACAGAAAGATGAGGCCCATAGACAGAGAGCAGCAGAGGAGAATGAGGGGATTCCAAAGACCTCCCACCAGTACAACAGCTCCCCGCTTCTCCCTCTGCTGCCTCGTAGTGCCCTGGCACTGTCCCACAGAGCAGAAGGAACACAGGACCATGCTGAAGAGGAGAAGAGCCTGGGACGGAGGCACTAGGACCCCGCCAGCACTTCCTAAAGAGTCACTCTGTAAACAGGAGTCTGGAGACACAGCGTAGTCCCTCCTGGAAACCACGGCCTCCCCGGTAGAAAGCAGGTTGCTGGGCTCCGCAGCCTCCGATAGATTCTCCTGGGCCATCTGGGCTTTTCCCCACAGACCTCCTCTCCCCGGGGCCTCTGCCTTGGTCCCTGGGCCTCAAGACTTGCCTCTACAAGGGTGAGTCTCTCTGCCATCACAAACCCACCACACATTCACCTTATTGTAACTTACATAGTGCAAAGACTAGAAATCCTTGAAATAAAGACCAACATCTCCACAACCCAGTTTACTGGTCTGGCCCGGTTGACAGCTAAAGTTTAGGCAGGGTTGAAGGTTTGGGCATGCCAGGGCCTCTCTCTCTTTCCCAGCATGACATAGGAAGGAAGCTCAAAGGTGAGGCTGTCCCAGGAAGCAGGCAATGAGGCAGGCTTCTGAGCTATGTGTCTGGGCCACTGAGGGTTTGCTGAAAGCCGTAAACCATGGGGGAGGTATTCAATCCTGTGGGGACGGGCCTCCGAAGTATGTCATACGGAAAACCAGGGCCAGCTGATCTCCCTGTCTCCATCTTCTTCAGCGGCAGCATCAAGAGCACCGCCACATGTCCCAGAGCCATGGCATATGGTTGAGAAGAAAACAATCTCCCTTCATCGCCCACCTAAGTCCAACTCTGCCTACTGAGGGAGCTTGCAGAGGGCCACCTCACTAGGCCTCAGTTCTCTCGTATGTGCATGAAGCCGCTGGCAGAGCCAGCGGGGCCCGGCATGTACGAAGCCTGGCACAGGGCTCAATCTAACATATCGCCTCATCTACAGCAACTGTATCTGAAGAAGAAAAACAAAACACCTCACGTGCAGGAAGGACCGAGAAGGAAAGGCAAGGGAAACTCTGAGGTCTGACCAAAGTAACCTTCGAATCTGAAAGCCCACAGTCGTCATCCATCATTCAAGAGTGGTTTCTGAGTCCACATAGACGTTACAGAAACTCATCCGGCAAGACGTCCCCAAAGGTGGGCAAGGAGAGCCACAGAGGGACACTGAGAGGTCAAACAATGCCCAATCACCTGAGGCATCAAGAAATCAACATAATCAATGGTCATCTTTTTTGCCCCCTGTAAAAAACAGTAATTCACACTTGCACAGAAACAGAAGATCAAGGCAATCTTCTCTGGAAGGCATGTCAGCAAAATGAATCAAGAGCCTTAAAAATGCCCCTGCCCTCCAGCCTGTCTATTCCACTCCTGTAAACTATCCTAGCAAATCATCTCAAAGGCAGACAAGGAGTTAGGCACTTACACAGTCACTGTTCATCACAACAGCAAATAAAACAGCCCCTTGACCCACCAGCCTAGATGTAGTTACATCACTAAAGACATCCTGACACACTTACCACACAATGCGGCACTGTAAACCATTAACATGCATGGAATGAACAATTTTAATGCTATGGGAAGATGATGGTAACTACTCCAAGTGAAAACAGCAAACGAATATAGTTTTACATAATTATATGTTCATCGTGCAGTGGGCTATATAAAAAATGCTAAGAACATAAACATACACAAAAACATCAACACTAACTCTCCCTGGGCATTGGGGCTATGAGAGATTTTTACTGCATACTTTACACTATTGTGCATTTTCTGAATGAAAAAAATCAACATGAATTACTTTAATCATCAGACAGAAATTCTCAGTGTTGGAGTTGTAAACCACACATTAGTGCCCGTCCCTTCACTCAGGCACCACAGGGGACCAAAATAGTTAAAACACACAGAAGAGTCCCGGGGCTGCTCTTTTTGAACTTGTGTCCAGAAAGTGCTTTGAGCGTCTCACCTGGAGGACTCAGACCCTGGCTGGAAGGACTAGGAGGACAGCTTCCAGGACGGCCTTGAGTACTTACCCATAATTCCACAAGAGAAAAGTGTAGGTCCTTGACTCATCTTCTTTGGCGTGTGCTGAAAACAACCAGAAAAGCTATTCACTCTTCAAATCATAGGAAGCATGTTTTGCACTGACTCTCTACTGATCCCTTCTAAAGTCACAATAAAAGGGTGGCTGTCCTTTGCCAATGTCAGATCAGGGAAAGGAGGAAAAGGTATTCAAAGAGAAAACATCTGCACAGAATTAGGCCCAGACTTTTTGTCCCAAGTCTCTAGTGAGTTATGGAGTCCATTGAGTTAATGGGCTTTGAAAACACACAGAAAGCCCCATCACTTCTGACATGAGGGATTTTTCCACATAAGAGATGTGGAGGCGGCCCAGGGGCAGGATGGATGGTAAACAGTGGAACAAGCTTCCTTGAGCTGGGCTGAGAAGAGACCAAAAGAGGAGGGGACCTCCCTGGGGACACGAAGAACCTCAAGTAGGGAGCAGAGGGCCCCACGTCCGACTCTGAGACCCCTCCCTTCCAGATCCAGGGAGAACAGCTCTCCCGCTCTGGTGAGAAGCATGGGGAGAGCTCAGAAGGGCTGGCCTCTGCTCTGCAGACTGTTTTGCAGCTACACTGAGGCCCCCTGAGGCATTTTCTCTGAACTGAAACAGAAACTCAAGGGTTATACTTGGTCTCAACATAACAGCGATGGCTTTTGAACTCCTTGGCACTGTATTTCCACAATAGTTTCCTTTCCACTGTAAACATTCTACATCTTTCCTGATGCCCCCCGCCTACCCTCAACTGAACGCTATGGCCACTGGGCAGAAAATAGGCCAACGAGGCCTAGAAGAACCCCAAATCCAGGGCACTTGCTCCACGGCTACACAGTAAGCTGGGTGTAGAATATTCTGGGGGTTCCTCATGCTAGGTGATACCCAGGTCAAGAGGCTTGCCTGGTCCTCTCATGAGCAGAGACTACCCAGCCAGAGCCCCAGGAAGCAGCTCTGCCTCAAGTGCTCCGAGGCTCCCTCACTCACTCGCCCACTCGCTCAGTGGGCACGGGGTGGTGATTCTTTCTGGGCGGGCTGTGCTAGGGGCTGATCGTACAATGGTGAAAGGAGCTCTCAGGCCCAGAGAAATGAGCTTGTCACAGAAGGCTCTAACTTCTGAAAGGAACCCCCAACACTCCCCATCAAAATGACACAAACAGACAAGGCTTCCAGGCTGGTAAGTGGACGAGGGCCCAGGTTCTGGCTCTTGAAGGCCTGGCAGGACGGTGGGGCTGACTGGGAACACCTGGCCCATCCAGGTAAGAGGGTGGCAAGCACCTGGCACCAGCTTCCTCACCTCATCCCCATCTACCCAATCCAGGGACCTCTGTACGAGGTCAACACTGTGTTCATCCCACAGGGTTACTAAGGGTCCATCCTGACCAGCCTGGGGACACAGAGGTGAAGGAGGACTCACACTTCATGGAAGACAGTCACAGACAAACCACGGGGAGATCGGGGCTGGAGGGGATGTCCAGGGCAAGTGTGCTGGGATGGGGGTGGACACCGGGGCGGCCTCCTGGGAGGGATGCCTAGACTGGTATTGAGGACCACAGGAGCTTCTAGGGCTGAAGGGGAACGGGGCAGTCCTCCTACAGGTCGCCCTCCTCAGTTTAAAATGATCCTAACAGTATCATCACACTCGGTCACCCTCCTGGATTCCACAGTGATGTAACCATCCTCTCTACCACCATCTGTGGAAATATCTGGGAAGAATTCAAAACGGCTGCACCTGCTTCCTCCCATCCCCCGCCACACAATCCCAGCTGAGAGGTGCAGCTGAGACCACACCAAAGTCATGCAATGGAAAGTGGATGACAAGCGCATGAGAGCCCTGCTGCTGGGGCTGCGCTGCCTGCACAGCCGAGAGCTCAGCCTGTGGATGCCAGGCAGGCCCCCAGTTCCCAGGTTCAGAGAGGGAAGTCGGGCCAGGGTCTGGCTTGCCAAGGGAGGTGGCTCCCAGCACTAAGGGAACACCTGGGCATAAGGAAAACACCCCCTGGGGAAACCCGGCCCCCAGTCCATGCCTGCCAGGTGGGAGAAGGCAACCCAGGTTGGGAGGCCACAGAGGCCACCCCAGGATGGGGGCTGGGGAGAGCAGAGAGAGCAGGAACACTGGAGCACCCTGTGTGCTTCACTGGCACACATGCAGGAGGGGCTGGGGCTTTCCACACCGAAGCAGGAAGCCACACAGCGAGCCGCCCCCTGCCTGGCCAGCAGAACAGTGCTTGCTGGCCGCCTCTCACCAAGCCGGCATGTTCTAGACCAAGGGGGACCTCAGGGCCCTTCTGACCCAGGCCATCACAAGGAACACTGCCAGAGATGCCGGGGTCTGTCTGCCCACAGAAACAGCAGTGGGCCAGCACACACGCACCCCAGGCACTCGTTCATACATTCACTCGACTTGCTCATTCATTCATTCAGTGAGGACTTATCAGCATCTGCAGCAGGTCCCCAGAGTGGCCTGCCATTTCCAACCTGGAAAACAGACTCCTCGCCACCCCACCATTGGCCCTGATCCCAGCCACTGCCAGCCCCAGTGAACGCCCCTCCTAACCGCTCTTACAGCCTGTACCCTGGGCCCCCACTTCCCACCCTCCACCCAGAACCCAGAGCCATCTTCTTAAAGCAGAGATCGGACCACGTCATCCTGTTCCAACAACTTCCCACCACAACCAGAATCAAATCCCGGCCACTACCTCTCCTCCACAGTGCACAGTGCTCCACATGAGCCAACCTGAGTACCCCCAATCTTGCTCTGGTCCTCCCCTCCTCACTCACACCACCCAGTGGCGCCAGGCCAGTCACTACCATCTCAGGGGCTTTGTGCCGGGATCTTCACACAGCACGCTCTGCGCTGTTCCTGCCCCGTGGCCTCCTCAGTGGCCTTGCTGGACCATCCTGGCTAAAGCAGTGCCTCCCACCCACTTTTCTCTCTCCCATCACCTCATTTAATGAACATGGCAGGTATTGGAACATCTGTTCCTGTACTGACTCTCTGCTCCATGGGAACGGAAGCTTCTTGAGAAAGGAGGGCTGTCTTGGTTTCAACTTCACAGCCGACAGCAGGCACCACAGCTACAGGCACCTGTCAGCGCCAGCCTGTCCCACTCCTGAGGCCACACACCCAGTGGATGTCAGGCAACAGAAATGGATTTTCACTGAGCAGAAGTTACTGTCTCCCAAAATCGCTGGCCTCACGCAAAGTCAAACCTCAGTGGGGAAGGGCTGAGAGGCCAGCCTGAGAGTCAGAGCCACCTCGCAGGCTGGCCTGGCCTCCTCATGCCAGTCTCCAGCCCTCTACCTAAGGGTTCCCACGAACCAGCAATGGTGCACACTACGATTTTCCAACTCGAAGGAACGACTTCTCCATTTCGCCATCCCAGGCAAGCCACTGCTTGCTCCTCACTGAAGAGATGAAACTGCGCAGCCCAGTGGTGCGGCCCCCTTCTTCTGTCAGCAGCACCCCAAATTTTGAATTGGGATACCTTCACCCTCACTGGATCATGTCTTAGTGGGACTGTCAAACAAGGTGCCTCCACCTCCCCGGCCCCGGGCTAGGCCCAGATCTCAGGCCTAGACACTGGTTCCATGGCTGACTCCTGAACCACAGAGCTGGGCCTGATCCACCCAGCAGGGAGGCCCTCAGTCTGCCCGTGGGCACCTGCTTCTGAAGTCCTCCCAGCTACTCCAGTCATGCCCTTTCTGGGGCCCGACTGGCCCCCTCCTCTCCAGCCCTGAGAGCTCTCCCCGTGCTCCAGGGAGTTCTCTCTTGGGGTGAGTTAGCTGGGGACGGCCTCTGGCGCTGACAAAGGAGGAACCCTGACTAATTTCGTGCTTTACCTTGAGATCAGATCAGGGCCCATCTTGCTTTCTGAGCCCCATCTGTGAAGCTAAGCCAGTGGCGGCCAGGCCAGAACGTCATGTACTGACAGCTTTCCAGGGTGCCAGGCCCCAGTACACCCTGACCGCTGGCAGGTTTCCCTGGTCCAACTCCACATGGGCAAACCAGCAGAGTTCCTGCTTGGCTCTAGGTTGGCCAGGGCCTTTTATTCCCCAGGCTACCCGGTATATGCTAACATTCCCATGGTATGTACCATTCCTACACACACAGCCTTTCCAACACTTTGAACCTCCTGCACCCACAGTGGGAAGAATGAGCCAATCATGGTGTGGAGGCCCCACCAGGCCCTGAGGGAACCCCTCGGCCCTCTGAGGTTTCACAAGACACTCAGTGTCTGCACTCAGCGAGCGTCTGAGCCCTGCAGTGCTGAGGTCTGCAGTGAAATAAGACCAGAGCACATTTCCCCTTTGTGTTTCTCCCACTGTGAAGCCTCTGTTCCCAAGCCCACCCTGGGGCAGGGCCTCATCTCTGTGAGACTCCTCAGATCACGAGAAAAGGTTTTTGGAATTAGATCCTCGTAGGAAAGGCAAAAGCTGGAAATCAAATGGAGGCTTCAGGGCCATCTGTCTGACTAAAGAAAGCAGCCCTGGCTTAAATAAAGACACAATTAAGGCTCCAAATGAGGAACTGGCCCTGCAGAAAATGCCAGGCCACAACCACGGTTCTTCGTAACTTTCCTCTGTACATTATCGACTAAAGCAACTAAGTCACATCTTCCATCTCCTGACACGGTGTTACAGGGAGCCACAGAGCACCTGGGGGAGGCTCACACTCATGCCCTACGGGGGAACGAGCGGAGCACCCACACTCCCAAAATGTAACCCCGCGAGACTGTGGCAGTCGAAAGCAAAAAGGAGATCCAGGCCTGAAACAAGAGAGAGAAGCTGAGGAGGGAACAATGCCTTTGGATGAAGATTCTCAAAGATGCTGATAGAGATACGGTGGCCCTGACTCCTGAGGCTCCGGGGTTAGCCAAAGCATGGGCAGGCCCCTTGGTATCTCTGCCTGCCCAGGGTGAAAGGCATCACGCTGCCCTGGACCCTATGCCCTCCTGCGTTCTAACTTCAGGCCAGCCTGGGGCCTGCCAGAGATCCTGGCTGGGGCTACTGAGCTCAAAGTGCCAACTTA